CGTTGAGGAGAGCCCTATTTATAGGTGTAGGAGAGAGAGGTCTTGGAGAAGAAGACTTCAATTTGATTGGTCCTTCATGATTTGACATAATCTCTTTCATTCTCCTATGATTTGATATAATCTCTTTCTTTATCCTAAGATTTGACTTTGTGGGCAAGAAATAAATAATTTATTAATTAAATATCTTATTTATCTTGGATTTATGTCTCAAAATAAATAAAGACATTAATTAATAAAATATTAAAATTTCGATGTCTACAAATGCCTCCTTGAGACTTGTTCACGGACAAAATGTCTAGGTAGTGAATGAGTCTCAAAATTTTGAATTTGATTTGGACATGCAGATAGTTTAAACTCTTATCTAGGAGTTCTTCAACTTGAGTTTGTAGATCGTTTAAACTCATATTAGGGAGTTCTTCATTTGACTTGATTCGTAGATAGTTTATACTCATATCAAGGAGTTCTTCATTTGACATAATTTGTAGATAGTTTAAACTCGTATCAAGGAGTCTTGATTTGATTTGACAGATAGTTTATACTCGTATCAAGGAGTCTTCAATTTGTAGACATTTTATGCTCGTATCAAAGAGCCTTCAAATTGGTAGACATTTTATGCTCGTGTCAAGGAGCCTTCAAATTTTACATGTAGACCGTTTATTCTCGTGTCAAGGAGATCTTGATATGAAGATATTTTATGCTCGTGTCAAGGAGCCATATAGATAGTTTAGGCTCAAAGCAAGGAGCATATGTAGATAGTTTAAGCTCATATCAAGGAGCATTTGAATATGTAGATAGTTTAGGCTCATATCAAGGAGCATTTCAATATGTAGATAGTTTAGGCTCGTATCAAGGAGCATTTCAATATGTAGATAGTTTAGGCTCGTATCAAGGAGCATTGTAGATAGTTTAAGCTCGTTTCAAGGAGCATTTGAAAATATAGATAGTTTAGGCTCGTATCAAGGAGCATTTGAATATGTAGATAGTTTAGGCTCGTATCAGCATTGTAATATGTAGATAGTTTAGGCTCATATCAAAGAGCATATGAATTTGAGGATTTGATGGAGCTTTCTATGTAAATTGTCCCCATGCTTCATGGCTTCGGAATACATCATTCATTATTGCCCCCATGTATATTTTCTTCAAAGAGGTCTTCATGCATCTTCGAACTTGATTTGAAGAGGAGAGATGAGAGGTAGAGAAGGTCCCACTGGGCGTGCCAAATTTGTAACAACAAATTTTATTCGAGTCCCACTGGGCGTGCCAAATTTGTAACACAAAATTTTATGAAAAACATAAAACTTTTGTACAACTTGAATTATTTCGATCAAACGATATGCGGGTACAATCCCTATTTATCTCCTCTGATTCTTCTCTTCATGAATTTGGGATTGAGACCTTAAAAGATGGATTTGACGAATGAATTTCCTTCAGGCTTGGTCTTGAATTTCGTTAACATTAATTTGGGGGTCGAATTACTTATTCCCGTATTAGATGTTAGGCCTTGACTTGATTGAAGAAGAGTTCTTGGAGGACTTGATTCTTTGATCTTCTTGAAAGAGGATTTTGACTTGAATAACGTTGACTCGAGGGTTTGATAGCTTTTTTCCGGATCAAACGCTATGTTGGTTGAACTTCTCAACGAACGTGGATTGAATGTCACTTGAACGCCATTGATATTCTTGAGAGGAGTTGAAGTCGTCTCTTTACTTCTTTGGGAAGAGTCGCCGCCTCTTTTTCTTTTTCTTGGCCTTCTTCTTCATTGAATAAACTTCGGGCGGTTCTTCAAAAATTTCTTCAAATCTTCAAGAGGGTTCTTGAAAGCTCTTGAATTTGAGACTTTAATCTTTGAGATGCGTTTGATAATTTTGAGGTGTTTGATGTGTTTGAGGTGTTTTAGGTGTTTGAGGTGTTTGAGGCGTTGAGGAGAGCCCTATTTATAGGTGTAGGAGAGAGAGGTCTTGGAGAAGAAGACTTCAATTTGATTGGTCCTTCATGATTTGACATAATCTCTTTCATTCTCCTATGATTTGATATAATCTTTTTCCTTATCCTAAGATTTGACTTGGTGGGGAAGAAATAAATAATTTATTAATTAAATATCTTATTTATCTTGAATTTATGTCTCAAAATAAATAAAGACGTTAATTAATAAAATATTAAAATTTTAATGTCTACAATATATCTTTAATTAGAACCGTCCAATCGCAGGTATTATGCTAGTACTTGATTATTCTTCAATGGTCGGTCAATCCTGGTAATGGTTACGTCGTTCTCCAGTGAACTACACCAAAATGCCAAGTGAAAAGTCTAATCAGCATCATCACTAAACAAAGAGCGGCCAGAATTAATCATATTTAAGGACTGGGAATTACTTGATATTCACTCTATTAGCTTGATTTTACATGTAAACTATTTACATGTAACAACGTTGAAGCTATGATATCTCAATCTGAAATTTCATCGTCACATTTTTTTACATATTTGCTTTATATATCATCATCTTTAATCTATTTACAAAACAATACATCAAATTGTTGGGAAATGTTACGGACTTAAGGTCCCGTTACGGAACCATTCCGTCGGAGTTTTTCATCGTTGAATCATCATGTAACTGTCGGGGATAGTTGATCTAACGGTCACAAATCTTGACGGAATGATACCGTAACGGCATAGGCGGCTCCAGGGGGTAGGCAACCTAGGCACGGGCCTAGGGCCTCCATTTTATTGGGGGCCTCATTTTTTTTTTTTAATATTATGTATTTGTGTTGGGTTTTGTCTATCTATACAAATGAAGCCTCATTATTATTTTAATATTATGTATTTGTGTTGGATTTTGTCTATTTACACAATATTTATACAAATGAAGGGGTTAATGGCGAAATATGGACTTGAGTCATTACACAAGCCATTGCACAAATGAAGTGGCTAATGACAAAATATGTAATTTGTGTGGAAAATTGAGGCCCTAAATATTTTATTTGTTTTTGTATGATGTTCGGTCAGAACAAGTTGTATGAGAATAAATATTCTTTGTAGTGACATGATTTTTATTTTTTTCTCTTTGTTGTCCTCGTGATTGTTTGAATATAATTTATTAAAGATCTTTGTAGCCCAGAGGTAATTTATCAATTCCAAGTTCAAGAAAACAAGAAAAATGTTTTTTTTTTATATTATTATTTATTTATTTAATAATCTCGTTTAAATTTACGATTCTATCTGCAAATAGTCCTAATTACCATGTAAGTTCAAATCGGGAAATTCGAAAAGAAAAAACTTGTCTGGGGCCTCCAAATTTCTGGAGACGGCCCTGCGTAACGGGATCGTAGCATCTCCGAAAATTATTTGCATCAAATATCACAACATTTGTTATTTGCATCAAGTATCACAACATTATTTGAATATGCAATATAATCATGATGACATGTTGAGTTGTAGAGCGATATGTAAAATTTAAAAATCGGCTAGTCTTGCTTTTGGCGACACCTCAATATGACATTCGAGAATTTTTTTTTCTCTCTCTCTACAAAATTGTAGAGAAATTTACTCTTTCTACTGCAACTTTAAATCTATTATTAAAATTACGAGAGATTGATCTACGAATATTCCTATATAATTAATGTCTTCAACTCTCTCTCTCTCTCTCTCTCTCTCTCTCTCTC